AATAAATGTAATCTACAGCATACTGAAAATTCCCTGGCCATATTTCAAATCGATAATTCAATAGGAATTTACAGCCCATACCTTGTGTGAATAACCTTATTCTAACACCCTCGGCCAATGTTTTTGAACTAGGACTTTATAAAGGAAAAATTAAATTATGTAAGGTCTGCAAAAATAAAGACGTTTAAAATGTTAAACAAACTTTAAGTTTTTGACATATTATATTTTACGTAGGTACTTTTTTTAGTAAAATTAATATTTATTAATTTATGTATATCTAAATTGTTTGAATTCATGTCAAATGCGAAAGTGAGTGAGACTTATTTTTATTATAATCCAGATCCAATGGCCGCTCATTTCAAAAATAAAATAAACTGATTGTAGACCTGCGTATACGCTTATAAGCATTATCAGAGCGCATCCGCCAAAATTGCAACAATGGGTCGAACCCTAAAAAAGTCTAGTAATGTTTTGATTAAATTTTCGATAACAGTTAAGGTGAGCTCGTGTCATTATCATTATTTATGTAAAAGTAGTCGTTGCCGCAATGATTAGATAAACGTACATTTCATCAGCTAAATGTGCTATTTTTAATTGACGATTACCGAATATTGCTTATGATGATTGGTATTTTTCAATGTTGACGAGATAAGTAATAGATAATTTAATTATTTGACTATTAAGTATTAACTTAGTCAATACCTAATGTATATACTTAATCTATACTATTTCTATATTATTTTTTAATTACAAAAAGATAATTTGTATGGCTTTATTATGATATTCATTATAGGTGTAATAGCACAATAGAATCATTTTCACACATAATATAACAAGTGGTATGATTATCATCGATGATATTTTCGAATTGAAACCGAGTTGCAGATTTCACGGGTCCGCAGGACTTTACCCAACAACTTAAAAACATTTCTAGATGACCAACTTTTTTACAATAAAATATGGAATAAATAGAAAAAAATAAATATGTACAGGGTGGTCCACGTAAGGTGACCCATATACTTATCTCAGAAACTACTGGAGTCACAAAAAATTTGTAAGGAACAAATATTCACGAAGTAAAAAATATTTTTAAAATATTATATTTTCATTTATACAGGGTGTTCGGTTTTCCTTGGGACGATACCAACTTTCTTATTTTCAATGGAACACCCTGTATTTTTTTGCATTTTTGGATTCTTCCCACTCTTTTAGGTAAACTTTGTAAATATATTAATTAAGAAAATGTTAATACTTTTTGAGTAAAATTAAGATTTATTAAAATTTCTCTAAATGTAGACACTCGCTAAAAGTTAAAAATAACCAACTAAAAGTTATTATTTTTTATATTATGTAGTATCCATCTCTTTAATAATAAGTAAGCTATAAGTTAATTATTATATTTTTTGGAAAATATCATACAGGGTGTTTTCTATGTCCCGTTGAAAATAGCGATTTTAAAAGTTTAAAATCTTGTTTTTCTTCAATGAAACACCCTATATATTTTTGCATAATTGGATAGAATAAGTAATTACCTTTCATTTTATATATATATGTCCTATACCTAATCCTAAGAGAAAAAAAAATATTCGCATTTTTCACAATTAGTAGCTTTTTTCCAATTACCTTAGTTAAATTTTCATTATTCAAAGAAAACACCCTGTATAATGTTTTCCAAAAAATAAATTAATTAACTTATAGCTTACTTATTATTAAAAAGATGAATGCTACATAATATAAAAAATAATAACTTTTAGTTGGTTATTTTTAACTTTTAGCGAATGTCTACATTTAGAGAAATTTTAATAAATCCTCATTTTACTCAAAAAGTATTAACATTTTCTTAATTAATATATTTACAAAGTATACCTAAAAGAGTGTGTAGAATCCAAAAATGCAATAAAATATAGGGTGTTCCATTGAAAATAAGAAAGTTGGTATCGTCCCAAGGAAAACCGAACACCCTGTATAAATGAAAATATAATATTTTAAAAATATTTTTTACTTCGTGAATATTTGTTTCTTACAAATTTTTTGTGACTCCAGTAGTTTCTGAGATAAGTATATGTGTCACCTTACGTGGATCACCTAAAAAAAATATTCGCATTTTACAAAATTAGTAGCTTTGCGCGTATGGTAATTATTAAAGTAATATATATTTATATATAAAAGCATTTTTATTTGTTGTTATTGAAATTTATTTATTTGAATAATGAAAATTTAACTAAGGTAATTGGAAAAAAGCTACTAATTGTGAAAAATGCGAATATTTTTTTTTCTGTTAGGTTTAGGTATAGGACATATATATATAAAATGAAAGGTAATTACTTATTCTATCCAATTATGCAAAAATATATAGGGTGTTCCATTGAAGAAAAATAAGATTTTAAACTTTTAAAATCGCTATTTTCAACGGGACATAGAAAACATCCTGTATGATATTTTCCAAAAAATATAATAATTAACTTATAGCTTACTTATTATTAAAGAGATGGATACTACATAATATAAAAAATAATAACTTTTAGTTGGTTATTTTTAACTTTTAGCGAGTGTCTACATTTAGAGAAATTTTAATAAATCTTAATTTTACTCAAAAAGTATTAACATTTTCTTAATTAATATATTTACAAAGTATACCTAAAAGAGTGGGTAGAATCCAAAAATGCAAAAAAATACAGGGTGTTCCATTGAAAATAAGAAAGTTGGTATCGTCCCAAGGAAAACCGAACACCCTGTATAAATGAAAATATAATATTTTAAAAATATTTTTTACTTCGTGAATATTTGTTTCTTACAAATTTTTTGTGACTCCAGTATTTTCTGAGATAAGTATATGGGTCACCTTACGTGGACCACCCTGTACATATTAGAGAATAAAGTTATTTAAAATAAAACTAAAACCTATAAAAAAAAAATATAAAAATTACATGCTTGATACAAAAAAACAAATAGGCTCAAATATTGTAATGCTTCACATGCTTCATAGCAGGTGTTAAAGCCATCTTCTAAATATCCTAATTTTTTCTCTTTAAGATTCGTTTTTTTACAATAGTGGCCAAACGGTTTTATAAATATCAGTGATATACATCATCGCTTATAAATATCGATATACAGGGTGTCCCAGAACCTGCGCCACAGAAAAAAAGGGAACGTGCCGAAAGTTATATATGCAAAGGGAGGCAGCACAATTTTTACTTGAAATACTGAAAAAAGCTGTATGATGATAATATCATTATATTATAAAGTTTATGTTTTTTGACAGGCACCTAATGTCAAAAAATACATGTTTCAATCATAATATTATTAACTTCAAGTCGCTGTAGATGCGTTGTATAATATACCATCTACAGTGACTGATTATGTTGTTTCCATTACGCCTATCGGCTCGTTCAGAAACTTTCCTACTACATTTTTACAGTTTTTAAGTAGGTATTAGAAAAAATTCAAAACCGATCGATAAGAGTGGACGATATGTCCTCTATAGAGGGCATCGTGGCGTAAGAAATGAGTGGCTGTGCATAAGTTATAGAAATGGAAACAAATTAATTCAATACTAAAATTCAAAAATTTTCAAAATTTACCAGTTTTAAATTTTCTATTTGCAAGATTTTTGAAATTTACAAAATTTATTTAAATCATCAAAATTATGTTGTTTTTTATTTTTACGCGCGGACATCAGTACAGGCACAAAGTTTTTTTTAACACTCTGTATCTCGGAAACAAATCGTTTCCGGAAACTGGTTAATAGCAAGTTGTTTTTTTTTATTTTCATGCAAGGAATATTTTCGCAATAATAATGAATTACATTGTGTATATCGACAAAGTACATTACTATTTTTTAAACTGTATACAGTTATAACTATATATAACTAGGGGTGTCAATCCCGGGATCCCGGGATCCCTAAAAAGTCCGACTCTGAAAATTCCGGGATCAAAAGTCCCAATCCCGGGATCTTAGTAATAAGTTACAAAAAATAAAATATACTTTTTTTAAGCGTATGACAATATTCATATTATAATACTCATAATGGAAATACTTAATTTTTGTACGCAGTTCAAAAGTCAAAATATTATACACCGCCGTACAATAATGAAAATACATTGAAATTACCTCGGAAATTACAAAGCAAGAGTGGTTCCATCTATCGCGTTTAGCATAAAATTAGCTAATAAAATGTAAAACTACAGGTCACTGTAAAATAAATTCATGTACATAACCATATTTCAAACGTCAAACCTGAAAAAATTTTACAAACTCGATAATTTCAATGTAAGTTACAAAGGCCCGATTGATAAAAAAAATTGAATTATTTGTTAATGGGGGTAAACGTGGGTTCAATGTGCCTACGAATTCTTGAAAACCATTTCTGCAACTAGAGTAAAGTCCGAAAGATATCGTTCGTTAGTTTGTTTGTTCCTTTATTTTAAATTTGTTTAAAAAAGGTCTCGGGATTGGCACCCCTAGTAATGACTATTATAATATAACGCATTGCATAAAAATCGTACAAACAATTAAAAATGTGTATTTGTTTTAAAATGTGCATTAATAAAGATAGAATACAAAATTAAATCAAGAAATAATGATTACAAAACGAACTTTAAAAGCCATACAGAAATCTAAATAAATTATAAAAAGTTAAATAAAAAACATATTTAAGGATCAAGATTTGTCACTTTTATTGGGAATTATTGTAATAAAAGTATAATGAATAACTCAGATAACTTAAGAAAAAAAAATTTCAAATTTCTTTAAAAAAATTATGTATACAAAATACATAGACATATATTAATAATAATATAATAATGTTTTTAAGATTTTTTTTACTAACAAAATATACTAAATTAAATAAGTAATTCAGTTTTGCCTCTTGCTGACTAACATTTTTATAAATTAAGTTAATTTGAAAGTAGAGGCCGAGTTAATAAAAATCTAATAAAACATATCATTGAGCCGATTTTAAGTACGTGTAGGTGGATATTTTTTGCGTAAACGATCTTACCTTCACATACCACTTGGCCGTCTTTTTATTCTTTCGCGGGCCGGTGCACACGCAAAATCTGAACCGGCCCCGCAAGGTGTCGTAGCTCTTGTCCCTGATGGGACTGCCGTTCAAGCATTTCGACGCGAAGTGTTTCGTTTTTTCCGTCACGCTGTGATAGAAATCCTGTTGGAAGCTCGGCGGCGACGAGTTCGTAGGCAACAACATCACAAACCGAATCAAAGAAAACCAGCACGGAAAAATAACATAACAGGAATCAAATAGAGTCCCTAGGCGAAAATTAAATCTCCGAAGCAAAGATCGAAAGACACTCACCACTCGACGATGCACTCGCCGGAGCGCAAACTGTTCAAAACAAACGACGAACGCCTGCCATGCTCTCGAGCCGCGCGGATAACAAATTGACGTTTGCGCGGCGCAAGCGCAATACAGAAAAAGTCATGTGCGACATTAATCGTCGTTTACCTGGCAGTCGACTATGATCTCGTAGTCAAAGGTAATGGTCGAAAACAATAAATAGACTTTACTTATATGACTTTTATGCCAGACAGGAAAGTTATTTTTTTTTACGTTGTTACGGTTACGGTTTTTTTAACTTCTTTTATTTTGTAAAATTTTATCATAATTTTTTGTAAAAAAACAGGGTTTGTAATTATTTTAACAAAGAAAATATTTTACCGAAAGTAATGTAAAGGTAAAATGCAATTTTGTAAGCATGTTGTTAATTTCAAATTATTTCGTTAAAAAAGTACAACAGGTTAAACTGACTGCGTCTGCAACTTATGTTTCTGCTAACTTTATTTTAAAGGCGGGTTTATACAACAATTGATAATTTAGTGAACAATTTATTTCATAACTCAATTGTTAATTTAATGCATAGTTTAATACATAATACTTAACTTCATTAATTTAATATATATTTTATTTTTTCAAATGACAATATTGATAATTAAAAGTTCTAATAACACAAAATCCCTCATTAAAACTCATGTTTTGTAGGAACTTTGTAGTATTTTTTAAGGCACAAACACAATAATTATTAATTATTACCTTAAAAAATGGAGAGAGAAAAATTGTTGGCACATGCGCTGTTCAATCTTATTTATAATTCATAATTTATTTCATAAAAGTTAAATTTTATGAACTTTCAAGGTTATTCAATAAACACTAAATTGTGAGTTACGGATTAAATCGTTGTATAAACTGTTTCATAGCAGATAGTACGATTTAACTTTTATGCTTATGCACTAAATTGTGAATTATGAAATAAATTAATGATATGAAGTTGTATAAACCCGCCATAATTCGTAAAGTGTTCATAACAACTGTCAGATTCCTTATACCTATTTAACGAGTGTGCGAAGTGCTGGTTTTCAAACTGAAATTAGGTGATGCAGTGAAGTGGGTTAAAGTTACGAAATACATCAGTAAGTGTTGTAGTAGTACTGATAATTATATTGTGCCAAATTTCTTTATAATTTTATGATTTCAGAATGGTGTGTTATTTAATTGTGTGTAGGTATGTTATTTTTTTGTTCATTTATATGTTAATTTTTTTGTTTAGGAAATTGATTAATAAAGCAACATTTCTTATCAAAATTCTTTTCATTTAAGTTCCCAATTTCCAACAAATACTTTTGTTACTTGTCTACAAAAAGGTTTGTAAAAATAAGGGCTTTTTTGAAAATTGCAAGAATTATGGTTGAATGATGTACTTATATAAGATTTTGTTGTTAAATCTACAAAATGTTTGTTATAATTACAAACTGCCACTGCCATTTACAGGCACGAGTCTGCTCTAAACCTCATAAGAGCATTGAGGTCCCAAAGCAATCATTATAAGCAGAATGGGATACGTAGTTAGGTTAGGTCGTCGCTGATATATTATAATCATAGTGTTATAATAACAGTTATTTTGTTAATTGTCTTTAAAAATGGTCAATATAACGGATAAATTTTGTGCCCGAGTTAAATGTATAGTAGGATTTTAAAATTATGATGTGATACTATTCCAGGAACTTAAAAATCGCGATTTTTATTATTACCGAGAAACCATATATGGTATCTTACTAAACGCTGGGGGCGTTTAGATGTACGATGTATCGGAAACAAATGTGGTTTACTCAGTTGTTTTGAAGAAATTAACAATTCGGACGATCTGTGGGTTTCGTAAAAATAAGGTTTTAACCGGTGAGGTGTTATTTTTTAATTCGCAGTATCCACTCTTTTAAAATGAAATAGTTAAAATTATACCACTTGAATTAGCATTGTTTGCTAATAAAATAGTCGTTTTTACTTTTAAATGTAGTAATTTTTTACCACCTAAATAGTTAGTTTGACTAATTTAAGATAACGGCTATTTCAAGCATACGGACGAAACAAATCACAAAACTGTTTTTATAAAAAAAATTGTAGGTAATTTATTATATATTATTTTTGCATCAAAATTGTAAAAAATGTTCTTCTTTTATATACAACTTTAAAATATTATTAACATGGGTGACGTTCATAATATCGAAATTCACTTTATCGAATTCAAAATATCGAACACTTTTTATCGAAAATCAAAATATCGAAAATACAAAATGTCGAAAATCAAAATATCGAAAATTAAAATGTCGAAAATGATAATATCGAAATTTTATTTAATCGAATTTTCAATTTATCGAAAATAAAATATCGACGTTCATAATATCGAAATTCACTTTATCGAATTCAAAATATCGAACACTTTTTATCGAAAATCAAAATATCGAAAATACAAAATGTCGAAAATTAAAATGTCGAAAATGATAATATCGAAATTTTATTTAATCGAATTTTAATGTGAAACTAAACCATATTTTCTTATTTTGAATTTGATATTTTGTTTAAATATTTCAATTAATCGACATATTATTTTAATCCGAAGTGTATATGTATAGAGGCGCCTCTGATATAGAAATGTACTCAAACTCAACAACACAACCCAACCGACCCCGCCCCATTGGCCCCCCCCGCCCCATTGAGCAAAAAACCCAACTAAAATGGGCTAATTTATGTAATTAAAAAGTGTTTTATTTTTATCGTAACATGAATTTGCCCATTTTAGTTGGGTTTTTTGCTCAATGGGGCGGGGGGGGCCAATGGGGCGGGGTCGGTTGGGTTGTGTTGTTGAGTTTGAGTACATTTCTATAAAACGCGCATCTCTAGGAGCCAGGGAGCCAAGATAATTCGGTGCATAACCGTAACTTTATCTACAGAGGCGCCTCTGTACATAATATGTTATATATATATATATATATATATATATATATATTATACATATATTATATATATATATTATACACTTCGATTTTAATCATACATTTTAATTTTCGATATTTTTAAATCGATATTTTAATTTTCGAAATTTTAATTATTCGACATTTTCAAATCGACATTTTAATTTTCGATATTATCATTTTCGACATTTTCAAATCGACATTTTAATTTTCGATATTATCATTTTCGACATTTTAATTTTCGAAATTTTAATTATTCGACATTTTCAAATCGACATTTTAATTTTCGATATTATCATTTTCGACATTTTAATTTTCGATATTTTGATTTTCGACATTTTGTATTTTCGATATTTTGATTTTCGATAAAAAGTGTTCGATATTTTGAATTCGATATAATGAATTTCGATATTGTGAACGTCACCCTATTAACATTATTTATTGACAGATATAACAAATTTTTATAATTTTTTTTTAAGTAACTTGACAACTTTAAACCTAAGCTGGGACAAAACTTTTTTAAATTTAAATCAACTAATTTGACTATTTCATATGGTAGAATTTGACTAATTATAATTATAACTATTAATTATTATTATATATAATCACTATAGTGATTGCTTTGCCGCTATGACAATAAGTTTCATTCAAAATAGGATGTTTGTGAAATTTTGGGCGTTTCCTTCAAAAATGTTTTTTTAATTCAAGCTAAATGGGCATTTTTCGTATACGGCTCTAAGAGTACGTTTTTTTTCTTCGAAAATAAAGAAATATTTTTTTTGATAATTTGTTAATGCCTAAAATAAAAAATAGCAAAAACAGCCCCTTTTTCCTGGTATAATTTTTGTATAACGTTTGTTTAACGTTTTACTAAAAGAGATACTCTGGATTTTAATAGTATATTATGTATCAAATTTGATAAACTCTAGTGGCGAATTTATTTTTTTCGAAAAAACGACCCTAATATTTTTTTCCGAATTTTGACATAGAAAAAATGTCTGTCAAGTGACATTAAAATTATTTTTTTTATTTTGGATAGTTTTTTATTTTCTATCTTTGAAGCTTTGTTTTTTAAAATCTAGTAACAAATAAAAAAGTTACGGGGGTGTTTCCATTTTAAATGGGCCCAACTGTATACATATACTAATATATTAGGGGCCGTTCATTAATTACGTGAGGTGTTTAGGGGGGGGAGGGGGTCGAGCCAAACCTCACCAAATCTCACGTGGGGGGAGGGGGGGGGTCTCGGCAAATATCACGTAATTTTTTTTTCCGAAAGAAAGAGTGTTAAATTGCGAGAAAACTGGGTTAAATTAAGTAAACAATTATAAGCAAATTGTTTTTTTTAATAAATCTAATGGAATCAAGCACAGATTAACTTATTTACATTAAAACCATGCGTTTTAAAAAATCTCACGTGAGATTAAGGGGGGGGAGAGGGGGTCGAGCAAAATCTCACGACATCTCACCAAGGGGAGGGGGGGGGGGTCGAAAAATCGCCAAAATTGTCTCACGTAATTAATGAACGGCCCCTTAGTTCTGAATTCTTTATATTTACCTATATAATTACATTAAGAAATAAAATAAAGTTCAGATGTAAAGTTATTTAAGTTAGTTAGTTACAAAATTATAAATATTTTTTGAACTAGTAATCTTATAAGTTAAAAAAAGGAAGATATACAAGTTCTTTACATAATGTATGAGTATGAGTATGAGTATAAGAGACGTATAACCAGCCCCATTTCCTCTTGACTCTCGAACCCCGTACAGGCCTATGTTTACTTACGCCGATTTTTGTTCTTCCCCAGCAACTTCACGGCTTCACCCGTGTTTGCTGGGTGCGAATGTCCATTGCGTTTCGTACTGTCCCCTATTTGGAGCTCGAGAGCGAGAGGCGAATAGTTATAATAGCCATTCCCGGGTTCGCCGAGCCTATGCTATACG